ATATAGTAATAATTATACATATAATTATTACTATATTTTTCTATATATATATATATATAGCATAAAGCCTGTGTGGAAAAAGTTAGAGATGGCAAATGCCCATTTTCAGTGTTTTGTGATGGGGATAGCAAACTCTTCAAAGCACACCCTCAATATTTTTAACATAGTAAATATGACAGAGGTGTAAAGCATGACATACATAAAAATGTAACATCAAATTTTTTTAAAGAGCGAATGTTTCTATATTTTAAAATTGATGTTTTGAGAAATGTTGGTTCATTATCTTCGTGTTTGTTCATGGACTTATTGAAAGTTCCATTCGTTAACAGATCATGCTAGCAGTTGCTTGGCCGGATTGGCATGTTGCATTCCCAGACTTCTTCAATGAACTTACCGTAAAATGGTGGATTGAGCAGTTCAAGAAGTTGCACAATGAGCAGGTTTTTGACATTATTACTACTATTATCGCTACTTTAATTAACATTTTACATCTGTTGGCCAAATTTATGCAGTTTGCTTGGAATTAATAGAGGCCTTGGACGTTTTCAGTAGCAAGAGTGGTTTGTTATTTTTCAGTTTATTAACCTGCTAACGTGTGGTTGCTCTTGACATATGCTACCCTTGGAATAATTCGGAGTGCTTCTACCATTGAAGGGTTCTGAAATCAAGGGATTCTGTTTTTTGATTTCAAATTTGTAAATTTGTAACAAATTTTATTTAGAATTAGAGCGAGAAAATTAACGAATTTATTCAGGGATGAAAATTATCTGAACAAAAATCATGTATTGAAAAGATGGGTGGTACAATGTACTAAGGTTTAACGCTTAATGTTAGTAGCTCAGATGCGCGTACATCGGGAAAAGGTAAAGTCGGGAAACGCTTCTGTACTTATTGTACATTTCCGAGCAGTTCCGCTTGAGGTTGAAAAGTTTCATGAACGCAGAGAAAACTGCTTGCTTTAGATATTATTGTGCACTGTTTCTAGATACCTTTTGATGGCATTTGGATTGACATGAATGAGCCGGCAGCGTTTGGCACGAACGAGCGAAACCCGTGGTACTTCAACCAAACTGGTCGACCGATGAAATTGGCGCCGTTACAGTGCGATTTGAAGAATGAGTGGGAAGATGTGCCATATAAGACTGTGAATTTGTATAACTGGGGATACGACGCGGTATATTTGTTTCATTTTTTGACTTTCAGTGAATCTTTGTAAATCAGACATAAGTATAAATGTGTCAGAAGTGAATACAGCGGACACATGCTGTTGAGAGATAGTATAAGACAGCATAGCCTGGCGCGGCTGCTACCGGGATGTTTTAGGCTTTCATTTCTCACAGCTTCACAAAATCGGGTAAAAAAAGATAGGTGATCCAGAAAAATGAAACTAAAATAGTTTCTCTTGAGCAATAACCGTATGCTACATTCCAAAGTAAACAGAACAGTGCGATAGCCAAAATTCATTCGAAAAATACAAGATTCAAACTCTTGGTGTTAGTCAAGATTCACGCTGATTGTGTATTTGGCTTTCTTCACTCAAAAATCGCCCTTGAAAAGCGTATTGCATACAGTAGTCATTCGCTGATGAATTTGTCACCAGCTCAATATTTTGCTTTAAGAACTTTTAGCCACCTTTTGGAAAAGAAAGCATAAAATATTCTTCTATCGAATTATAATTGATCAATAAGTCTACTTGGAATAAGCCGTACTGTTGGCCACTTTACCTGCAGTCTTCACCTTTGCTTCATTATATAACCTTGCGTTCATTTCGTCTCCTTTTATTCGGGTTCTCAAAT